CTTCTACGGCCTTCTTACCAATGAAACAGAGGTCCCTGCCAAAAAGGAACCAAAACTGATGCAAAATGAAGGTTCGGGGGCCGAAACGCGCAGTTCGGGGCCCCGAAAGTAGGCTGTTAGGCACCGGGAGTGGTGTTCGACCACGAAGTCGGTCTCTCGGACCACAGTGTCCCTCAAAAGGGAGCAAATAAGAAGTAAGCCAAAAACCAGAGCAAACGGAGATGGTTAAGCGGTCCCGAACCGAGGCACACGGCCAACGATTCCGAAAAATCGGGAACTAGACTCCAAACTGGCAAAAATGGCCTACAACCACGAAACATAGCCTACAGCCACTGAGAGATGATCTGCGGGACCTCTCCCTCCCTTCGGGAAGAGAAACAGAGAAAACCGAACCTGGTTCGCAAACCGAGGTAAGGCGCAAAAGGGTCCGGAAGTCCGGAGGTAAGGCTCGCAGCCGAGACTTTGAATCTTCTGAACGAGCACAATATGCAACATCACCAAGCGATCGATCGGTGACGTCTGAGTCTTAAGGTCGGTCAAAAATGGGGTGTCTACAATACCTGTGTAATTCCTTTAAATCTTCTTAGTGGATTGTTTTGTGGCTGTTACCCGTGGTTTTTTAATCACAGTTGGAGGTGTCCAATTGTGTTTTTTCACGTAAAATCGTTGTGTTGATTTGCCTTGATTATTTGATTGGGATTGTTATATACTGCTTAAAATTGATACATAATCACAAATCAACATCTAGGGGATTTCTAGATTTTTCAATTGAATCTGATGAAGATGAAAGTGACAATGAAGGTCAAGGCGAAGAGGGTCATAAACAATTTCTTGCTTTCATGGCGGCTTCTGAAGCTGAAGGACAAACAGATTCTCCAAAGAGGTCAGTTGAGAATATCACTGATGATGAATCCTCGGAGAGCGATCATGAAGAGCTTGAGCAAGCTTATGAAAAGTTGTATAAGGAGTCTCTTAACTTATTCAAATTAAATGACAAACTCACAAAGAAACTCAAAGCATGTGAAAGTGAGAATGTCAAACTTAAGGAGGATATTTCCGAGGCCAGGATTGATGCCATCAAGATAGCTGATGATCGACAAGCTCTTTGTGCAAAACTATTAACTTGTGAGACAGAGAGGAATGAGCTACAGGAAACCCATGCCATGGATGAAGAAACGATTGAATCTCTCGAGATGTCACAAGTTGCTTTGGAAGAACTAATGATCAAGAAAGCGGAAGAGCTCAAGTGTGTTATGGCTACCATTGATCTTTGGAACAGAGGATCAAAGATTTTGGACAATATCATTGGGTCTCAACAAATTTGTTCTGACAAGAGTGGCATTGGCTTTGGTGGTAAGAAAGAGCAAAAACAGAATGCATCCACATCTCATGATACAAGAACTCAAGGAAAAGCAGAACAAAAAATTCAACATAAGGATGGACTTCTCAAACTTGCTAGAGTTGGTAAGGTAAAAGAAAAGAAGGTACATCCTGTACACCCTATTTTTATTTGTCATCATTGTGGTATACATGGTCATATTCACCCTTATTGTTATAAGTTGCATGGGAGAGTGTCTCATAGAGATGGAAGAAATTCCAACATCTCGTGGGGTAGGAGACACTTCATTGGTAGTAATGAGGTTAAAGGTCATTTTAGACCTCGTTATTTTGATCAGCTTGAGACCATACATGGAGCGAGTTTGTATTTGCCTAGACCTAGAAATAGGAAGTTGGAAACCACATCGAGATGGGTTCCCATTGGAAGCAAAGGGAATCACAACGCCAAGACACCACCCAAGAACCGCAATGCTCACAACTTTGCTCATACTAAAGCAGTTTGGGTTAGAAAAATTTGGGTGAGAAAACTTGACTTGTGTTAATTTTTTTTTATTTGGTTTAGTTTTTGGGTTTATGTGTGTTTTTTTTGAGAAAAAAAAAAATGTGTGCATGTTCGGTTTTTGTCTTGAAAAAAAATTGAAAAAAAAAATCCTAAAAAGATTTTCTTAGTATGGTTTTGCAAGCTTGAAATTTTTGAGTGGTCCTTGGTGCATATTGGAATTGATGAAAATATCCATTACATATTAATATATGTATGCTTTCTATGGTCATTACTCATTTTGGAGTGTGTGTTTTGATTAGTATGTCTCATTCTGTACACACTCTTGGATTAGCAAATTTTGGAGTCTTCCGCCTTAGTGATTATTTTTTCTCTATGGACTTCTGGCATTGTATCTTTTGCTTTTCTTGAGGAATTGACCGATACTAGCATATCATGGGTGATGTTGAGTCTCTTAACCACCTTCCATCTTTTTACATCTCCACGGCTTTCCTCTCTATTCTTTGTAGTCCAGCCATGAGGAAAAGGCTACCTCAGAGTCACCAACTAGGCCATCCTTATTATATTCATGCTTCTCTGGTTCGGTTTCCATACTCTTGAGCGTGTCAGCCGCCAATGAGTGTGCAAAATAAAAAGAAAAAGAAAAAGAAAAAGAAAAAATATGCAAAAGAAAGAAAAAATGTGCAGAAGAAAGAAAGAAAAAAAAAAGATTCATTGTTTGAGGGGGAGTCTTCGCCTTTACTCACCAAATATCCCTTGATTCCTAGTGGTTTGACTTTCCTTTATTGTGCTTAGATTCTCTTGTCGGAGGTCTAGCTTTCATATCACTACTAGGATTGAATCTAGTGTTTGTCGAACTCCAAGTTTCACACACACACTTTTATCATGGGATTTATGTTTTCACATAATGCATCACTTTCTTTCATGAGGAATTTTCTACAGACTGTGCACATTGTGTTTTCTTCTAATGGTGCTTCTTGGATAATCTTATGTGTTTCAAGGTACAAATCAGAAATTCCTTGCTTGCTCCACCATAGTTTTTTTGTCTTTTTCTTCTTGTTCACTGTTTTTCAGTGTTTGTGGTTGCTTTTAGTGAGGGGGAGTTTGGTTTATCATTGCAAGAGTTTGTTAGCATAAACACTTTGATATGTTTGGCAAGGGAGATTGGCTATATGTTTTGCATGTTGCTATGCACTGTTGGCCCTTCTTGTATGTTCCTGGTATTTACATCGTCATATCATTGCTTGTGTGGTTTATGATCTTGCTTTTGTTGTTTGAGAGTTGTTTTTCATGAGTCTTAGTTTTCATCTATTCATGATTTCCATCTTATGTTTCAAGATAATTGTGTCATATGTCTATTGCTTTTTCATATACTCTTGTGGGATTAATAGTTGTTTTGAAGATTGTGGCACTAATAACTGTTTTGCAGATCATGACCTTGAGAAAGAAGTTGGGTTTTGTTGGCTGTAATGGGTTGGGGTGTTTAGGATTTTATTTGTTAGGTGTGTTTTGTCACGGCATTGCCAAAGGGGGAGATTGTTAGGTTTTATTCTTGGCAACCCCGTTTGACAAAACTTCTTTCAGTTGTATTTGTTTTCGCCCCTTTTATTTCAGTGAGGCTATGAGTGTTTAGATACGAATCCAACCCGAATCATGCCTTTGTCAATTTCCATGGATCAAAATCGAGGTTGTAACATGATCTAGTTTTCCAGATTTTCTAATTTTGGTCGTCCTGCTCGAGCGGGGACAGTGACGCTCGAGCGGGGATTGCAAGCTCACAGCATCTCTGCTTCGCCTGAAAAAGTACTGGATGGTGTGATTCGATGCTCGAGCGTGGAAACTTCCGCTCGAGCGTGAAGGAGCGTGAAGCCTATATGAATTGTGGAATATGAAGTCTCCGCTCGAGTGGGAAGTCCCACGCTCGAGCGGACCGCACGAACACAGTTTCCGGATTTCGATAAGGATTTGGCTTTCTGAAGAAACTAGGATTACTTTTGGTTTTCTATAAGTAGTTGGGTTTCTCCCAAAACTTAAACAAGTCCTCCAGATCTTCTTTTTGGGTTCTAAGGTTTATATCTAGGGATATTTTGTTAGTTTTCTTTGATTTTTTATTGAGTATTCAACTCATGGTTTAAAGAGAGTACATCAGAGGTTTTGTTTGTTATACACAAGAGAGAGGGAGAGTTGTTCTTTGGTGGATTCTGAAGAATTCGAGCCTGAAGCTTCGGTGGATTCTGGAGTGGCTCATCGTAAAGACAATTCCAAGGTGAAGACGGGGTTGGAAGAGGCACATAGAGGTTGGTTCAATTAGGCGTGGATTCGCTAGGTAATTGAGAGTATACCTGTGTAATTCCTTTAAATCTTCTTAGTGGATTGTTTTGTGGCTGTTACCCGTGGTTTTTTAATCACAGTTGGAGGTGTCCAATTGTGGTTTTTCCACGTAAAATCGTTGTGTCGATTTGTCTTGATTGTTTGATTGGGATTGTTATATACTGCTTAAAATTGATACATAATCACAAATCAACATCTAGGGGATTTCTAGATTTTTCCATTGGTTATCTATAAGACAACTAAGAAAGCATAATTTATTTTCCATGACCAGTTGACAAACTTCCCCCAATCGTTGAATAGTTACCATCAGCTACTGAATTAGGGTAGGTTTTGAACTTAATTTAAACACAAAAGGTGGTAAATGGATAAGCTAACTTCCATAATCAAGTTAATCAAAACACACTGGAGCTCTTTTGGTGACAGCATGCAAACTGTGGGAAGTAATTGTCATTTTCCATCAATTGGCTTTTGATGGTTGTGAGAATCTGAATACATTATTTGAAGAAATCATAATCACTTCCCACATTCTTTCTGGCCCTCCTTGAGTCATTTGGGAAGCTTTAACTTGTTTTTTCTTTTTTTGCTAGGCAAGATTTTCCATAAAAATATATGAAAGAATAGAAGTCAAGTACAAAGAATCAAGAGGGGCATACATACCCCTTGTACAAAATGTACAAAAAACACAAGGTCATAATAGTAAAACTTTTAGATCATTTGGACTAATGTTGTTCCAGGATTGAAGGAGGGATAGACTAATTCCTACAGTTGAGATGAGTGAATTTAACTGAGTGGCTTTGACTCTCTTTTTCTAACATGCTGCCTTTTTCTTGCAGGCAATTGCAGAAATTATACTGTCAAAGCACTTTAGTACAAGAGGAGTAAAACCAGTAAGTACTCTACATGGTTGTAAAAAAGATGCCATTATGTGGCTGATTTATTCTTTTCTGTCCTAAGAAATTTAAAAACTTTGAGGTGTTTATTCTTGGTCATAGTTTCACCATACATTCAAAAGGAAGGCCGACTAGTCAAACCATGCTCTTTAGGGAACTATTATCCTTTGTGACAAACTCATTGTTAAGTCACCACTAGTCCCAAAAGCTTAAGTTGTTAGGAAATGAGCCCAACAATGTATGTCAAGCTATCCAACATTATGTTATATTAATTACTTTTTAAAGCTCTTTATTCCACCACCAAAAATTTTTAGATGATGGCCCACTATCTTTAGATTTCCCATTGGACATTGTTTAATTTATAATTAATTATAATGTTCATAGCTCTTTTCAACATTTCTGCTCCTTCATAAGATGTGGCCATTGAAGCCACCTCCTATAATTTTTTTTCCCAATTTTTTTTATCCTGTCTACTATTTAATGCAAATCCTTATGAAATTGTCACATACTTTCTTACATTCATCTATTTCTACGTGGGTGTATACTAATCCATATTTAAATTTAGAATTACAACCAATTCATATCATTGTGTTTCCTTTAATTAAAGTTTATTTGCTTTCTCTTCTTTTTGTTAGATGCTTACTTGGTGAGATTTAAAAGCTTGGGTTGATAAATATAAAGGTGGATTCAACTGCTATGAAACATCTCGAGTCAAATAACCAAAAAATTCTAATAAAAATAAAAAGCAAATTTGAAAAAGATTAAAAGCATACATTTCAAAATAGGAGACACCTCATCGGAGCACTCAATGCAACATTGTCCTTAACGGTCACCTCCTCAACTTTGTAGGATTTTGTTGCAAAATCTAAATGAAACCAAATCTTAGTTGATTTATTCACAACGTTTATAAGTTACAAGATTTATTTATTATTGTTATTTGAGGTAGAAGGTGTAACGATTTGGAAAGATATGTAGAAAATCACAAAAACACTTTGAAAAGTATGATCATGTGATCCTATGAATAGATCCACAATCCCATTATGCTACTATTACTTATTTTATTTAATCCTAGTTACTTGACGTTTCTAATCTCGATCTTATCTTTCTCGACTCATCTACTTGTTATTGTCTTTGTTTTTTGTTTTTTGTTTTTGGTTTCCTTCCAAAAATTCACTGGTGTGCAGACGGTTTTGTGTGCTCTTGCTGAGATTGTTAGCATGCGTTTCGTGGATGGGGTTGGACCTCGTCCAGGAATAATGGGAATTGACTACCCCACAGCTTGCTAGCTTTACAAGTATGTAAATACCAGGGCTCAAACAGAATGTTTGTTTTAGAACATTGTAATGCTGGTGTGGATAACCAGTCATAGTGTGTGTGAAGATGGGGACTTGAACCCAAGCAAGGGGCCCTCTATCATCTCCTGCTTAACCACCAAAGCTCTTTGGCATCTTACACTATGGAATAAAATAAAAAAAGTTCAACATCTCATGCTCTTTAATATAGTGTTTATTAGCAACTTTGTCATTTTGGCTCGTTATAGGATATCGCGATACCTCATTAGAATGAACTGAATTGATCCAATTGCCTTCGAATTGGAAATTAAGTTATCACAATAAATGGAGCATAACCAAATTGATGTTGATTAAAATTAGAAATCATTAAATTTTTTAACCTCCATATGCTTCTTGTTGAACAAATTGTTAGAAAGATATTATACATTTTTAGTGAAACTAAAGTAGAATATGCTTGTTACAAGGCTGAAATTTGCTTGAATGTTTGCTTCTGATGTGTAGGGACTTGGGCTACAAGGCTTACATAGTAGAGTCCGTTGATGATCTAACAAAGCCTTTTGTTTCCTTGTACTTCGGCGCTGCCTATTTGGTTTGGTTATCACAATGTGAAGGGAGTAAGTTTGTTTGCTACCAAAAACCATCCATCTATTACTTGTCAAGTGTTTTTGATTGAATATATTTTGACTAATTTAATGATTATCATTTGGTGCTAAACCAGGGAAAGGACCCCACAGTTTGTTGTTTAGGCTTATCTTGCAGGGCCAAAGAACGTAAACCTTTAGGAGACAAGTCCACTTTGGCTTAAATTTGAGGAAGCATTAAGTCGATACGAAGCTAAGGAAGTAGGTTTCACTTCATAATATATATATGTGTTAAACACTATTTGTATGTTTGGTTTGTGTTTGTAGAGTAGTTTTTGAGATAAAAAGTATGAAAACTTCTTTGGTTTGCCTTTTTTCAGAAATGGTTTGGGAAAATTGTTTTGGGAAGAGAGTTTTAAAAAAAGTGATTGATTTGATGTGTATGAGAGAGAGAGAGTGTATGATTTTGGAAAGTAGGTAACCAAACAAAATTTTGAGATTTTTTTTGGAAAAATTTATTTGGCATGAGTACTCTTAAAAATTTGTTTGTAGAGAATTTTTCCCAAAAATTTTTCTGAAAAAAAACCAAACAAGCCCTATATGTTTCTGTGTTCATATTTTTTGATGGTGAACATTATTTTACAGGGAACAAGGGAGCTGCACCATTTTATAAGCTGACTCGTTTATAATTTAGGCGGTTTGCAGAGGATCCATTTTTTTTGTTGCAATGTTATAAATGAAAGCTTGGGCGTGGAAACGACAAATAAACAGAGACGATGGTGGTTGTACAGAGATGTAAATCATGTACTGATAAAATAATATTTATGTGCAGCTCTCTGTAGGTACCCTGTGTAGTAAGTGCATACAAAGGAAGTTCTATCCAGGTAAAAGGTGGTTAATATAAATTTCTACAAATGTTTACTTCCTGTCCCCCATGTGTGTCCAGGGACAGATCCAAGAGGATTGAAGGCCATGGGAAGTAGCATGGAGAGCAATTCAGAATGACGGTGAAGGATGGATGGGGGTTGGGTGTTTTGGTTCACTTTTTTCTTATTTTTTGTGTTAAAATCCTTTGGATTTTTATTTCTCTTCTTTTTTCTTTTTTTCCTCTGATCTGACTGGGGTTTGGGTGTTTTGGTTCACTTTTTTCTTATTTTTTGTGTTAAATGAGGGTGTGGTGAGAGAGAGAAAAGGGTAATGTTATTTTGTGGTTTTGTATATAAGGTAGTAATTTTTTGATTGAGAATTGTGAATTCAATTTTTGAATATGTTATTTTGTGGGTAATGGTGATTAGATATTAAATTGAATGGGAAAGTGAATTAACGTTATTAATGTTGTATTTGCTATTTGAATGTGAGTTATTATTTCATATTAGTGTTATTTAGTTTTATTACAGGTATTCTTTTAGTTCAATCACATAAAATTAGCACAATTTCAAAAAAAAAAAAAAAAGACAAGACGGCGTTTCTAAAACGCCACTATAACGGTTGGAATTTTTAAAATTTAAAAAACCTATGACGGTGTTTTAAAAACGTCCCAAAAACCATAGTGACATCACAGTACCTTGTAGGACATTTGGCGGCGTTTTTAGAAATGCCGCCTATACTAATACAACAACATTTTCCAAACACTATAAAGCTATAGCAACGGCTGCGTTGTCGGCGTTTGGTACTAAACGTCACAAAAAGAATTAGTGACGTTTTTGGTACTTATAGCGGTAAAAACGCCGCTAAAAGCCTAATTTCTTGTCGTGAAAGTTAAACTCGCTCATTAGGGGACTTGAAGAAAGCTTTCATTTGAACCTTGTAGTAGGGATTATTGCTCGAGTAAAGAAAAGTGATATAACGACTAAACCTCCCATTCTTGGCAACCCTGATTCCATCGAGCAACCCCTATATTGTCTAAGCTTTGTTCATATTCATTGCATAATACTAAACATATATATATTTTGAATACTTTTGCAATGGGAACTCTCTATTGTCTGAAAAGAATTTTAATAGCGACGTTTTTTTTTTGTTTTTTTTTTTTGCACCATCGCAAAAGCCTAACTTTTTGTACAATTATGGATATTGGGACTGTTTGTTATAACTTTTGGGGGTGATCATAGCTTATTTTGATTTGGGAGTTTGTGCCAGACTGTTTGGTGCAGTTTCTGCTTATAACTTATTAAGCAAAAATAGTTTAAATAAGTTGAAAAAAGATGATTATTTGGAAGTTGGGGTAGAGGTGCTTTTAGCTTATACTTTCTGATTATCAACTTTTAACTTAAAAAAAGTTCCAATTATGTTGTCTTCACTTAAAAGAAAACTTTTGGGTTGCAAAAAATGGCAACAACTTTGTTGCTGCTAAAAGTTTTAGCAATCCATCTTTCATTTGACTTCCCTTATTGTTTATAAGTTTTAGCAATCTATCGTTTAGGATGTAGGTTTTTTTGACATTTTGGCTAAATTAGTCACAAAAAGATAAAATAGACTAAAAACTCAATATGATAAAATGTTACGTCCAAACAATAATCATTTCACTTTTTCTCTCACAAAAGTCAAAGAAATCAAAAAAGTCAATCTAAACGAACTTTGTACTTGGAGCTAAAATAGTCAAAAGGCTAAAAAGCCAACTTCCCAAACGAAAAAAAAGCCTAAAAGCCAACTCAATTTCTTAAATGAGTTTGAGAAATTGAGTTAACTTTTTGATTTTTTGACTTTTTAACTATTTAACTATTTTAACCTGAAAAAAGAAATTAGTATAGTAAGCGAGGAACTTTCCTAAAGGTATTGATTGGGGTAAACCCCAAGAGAAGACAACTAATCTATTCTTATTGCCTTTCTTCTGAGCTTGTTTTATCCATATAGATAATACAAAAAAGTGGCAAAAAAATAAAAAAATAAAAAATTCAATAAGTCTAGGGAGCCTCTTTAATTTACCCAAAAATTTACCAACTGTCATATTGTAACGCCCCCAAATAAATAATATACAAGGATCCTGGTTTTATCCTTTTTCCATTGGATAATCATGAAATTTCTAACATCATAATACTAAATAAATCTCCATATTTTATCCTTTTTCCATTGGATAATCATGAGATTTCTAACATTATAATACTAATTAAATCTCCATAAACTCCATTCTCCGTTGGCGCAAATTCAAATATTTTTAGGAAAACAAGTATTTGGAAAAAACATTAAACTTCTCACCATACAAATAGTTTCTCCAGATCTTCAAGGAAAAAAATCACCGCCCCTAGCTCTAAATCGTGGGTAGAGTAGTTCTTCTCATGAGCTTTTAATTGTCGTGAGCTGTAAGTTACAATCTTTCCCTCTTGCATCAACATATAACCAAGCCCATCTCGGGATGCATCACAATACATGGTATAACCCAAATCCCTTTCCTAAATTATCAAAACCGGTGCAGTAGTCAATCTAGTCTTAAATTCTGGGAATGAATTCTCCCAAGTCTCGTTCCATACAAACTTGATACCCTTTTTTGTCAGTCTAGTCAACTGTGTGGCTAATCTAGAGATGTCATGACCCAAACCCGCCCCTATGGATTAGAGTCATAACCGGCTAGTAATCATGAGATTACTTGTGGCCTCAGTCAGAAACCGAATCATATTTAATAATAAGCAAAATTTACAAAGATTGTCCAATGAGCTGTGCAAACATGGCTTAACCAAAATATTCTCGTATCTATATAATAAATCACGCCATATGAACATTCATATTAAGTATGTAATACACACGTCCAGGATTATTCAAGTCAGTATTACCGCAAACCAAGTTTATACACAGGAATGGTCACTCATGACCACAAAAGATCAAAAGCAAAAGAACAAGGGTCAAGCAAACAAAAGTAATGCCTCTTGCGTGAGGCGACCTTGGCTGATCTCTTAAGACTTGGCTTCTCATTGCTCACTGAGGTTGGGGCTGGACATCCCGCTACTTACCTACATACAAAAATATAAACAGTGAGCTAACGCCCAGTGCATAATATCAAAACAAAGGAGTTCATAAACAAGATTCTTATATCACAGTTCATTATCACACTTAGTACTCAATGTTAAAGCAGAACGACCTCAAGTCCTTTACATCATATCCCAAGTACAAAATGACCTTGGGTCCACGTAGCATACAGAACGACCTTGAGTCCATCATAGGCAAAACGACCTCAGGTCCAACTTACGTACTGAACGACCTTGGGTCCATTACACACTAAATGACCTTAGGTCCAATACTCACAGAACAACCTTAGGTCCAATACTTATACACATTCATTGTGCGCATACATTCAGTCTATGATCATATTCATTCTTATATCCAGAACGACCTTAGGTCCATATCTTTTCCTTATCCCAAACGGCCTTCAGCCCATTTAATAATCATACAGAACGGCCTTAGGCCCAATTCGCATTCTCGTTGAATATACTGAATGGCCTTAGGCCCATTTCACATTCTCATCGAATATACCGAACGACCTTAGGCCCATTTCATACTCATACATTGATAGCCTTGCATATCTCATTCCAAATTGAGTGATTGGAACGCTCGTTCATATTATCACTTTAAAGGTTTAGAACCTTACCACATAATCATCGTTTAGAAAATAATGCGTATACGAAAACATCCTCGCTAAGATGTTACTCACCATGTTTCGGTGCTTGATTCGTCCTTGCCCTCGACCCTACATAATTCATAACACATAGGGTCATAATACCATTCAATATGTTCTTTAGTTTGCTTAATGCTCTTAGGTTTATTTCGTGTCCTTTAGTTCATTTAGAATGTCCAATGCATGCCTAAGAGTGCTAAGAAATGAAAGAGAACTGAAAACAAATCATAAAATGACTTTTCAAAATTTCTGAAACAGGGCTCTCCGCTCGAGCGGACTGTAAAACTTTGTAAAAGTATTGGTTACATGAATTTCATGCTCGAGCTAGATTTCTGACGCTCGAGCAGAGAGTCTTGCAAAACAGGGTTCGCTCGAGTGTAGAGTTTGTTGTTCGAGCCACAGTGCAAATCTCTACAAAACTTATAGGAGCTTGACTTTCA